CATGAATAGTCGCCCTGTGTCCTTTTCAGAAAATTTAGACCAAGGCAGGGAGTGACTTGGACTTCAGGAAATTTGGCAGGCAGCATCTACTCCTCCTACAGTGGTGCCTGGAACGAGCGCAGCACATCGACGGGCGGTCCCAGCCGGCCATGTCAATGCAGCAGCAGAACCGTCCCATCGTTGCGAGTTGCTGCATCCTAAAATCCAGGGCATGGCAGAGATGAAATGAACTACGAGTTGTGTGTCTCGAATTCTCAATGAAGCAACCATGAAGAAGCTTCATGAATACTCGAAACGAGAGCTCCCTCCCAGTACAAAGGCAACAATAACTCAAGCGAGGTGATGGTGGAAACGACGACGACTACAGCAGTGTTACCACGGTGACACCCGAGCTGGGAGGACGAGAACGAAGGAGAGATAGACCCATAGACCTGCAGCAAGGGCTGGCCCATCAAGCAGTGGCGGACTCTGAGAACACATGCCTCGGCGCCGAGATCAGAGAAGAGACAGCGCTGCATTTTGCACCTCTACAAACTTTCAGTCAGAGAATCTATAATGCATAGGCAGAGCTCCTGCCAGTTGCCGTATAAAAATAACTCTAGAAGGAAATCAAGCTTAAAAATCGTACCTGCACACCCAACGGATCGAATTTCATTTGAATCATGGAAAAGCAATCGTGTCAACACTGTCAATTGGTGGGAGATACTACATGCAGATGCATGCATTATTCTGAATATGCAATGTATTTTTTTTGAAAAGGATACAAATATACAATACATACAATGTGATTTTCAATAATATTTGGAAATTTCTGAAACGATCCTAGTTAAAGGCCCAGATCGGGGATGTAGTAGTCATCTACTCGACTTTGCCTCGAGCCGAACGAGTTGTGCTGGCATCCCCGCCACTGACCACCGAAGAACAAACAGATTCATCAGCCGCTGGCCGCATCAGGTATGTTGCGGCCGGCATCTCCGCTGGGAGGCTTGGCAGCGGCGCCTCCAAACGAAGCACGCTGATAGCCTGCCTGATGGACGGCCTCAAGCCGGGGTCGGGGTGCCCGCACCAAAGCCCAACCACCATGACACGTTCCATCTCTTTCTCGTCGAACTTGCCGTCCATTCGGGCGTCGGCTGCCTCTAGAATGGCCCCTCTGCCGTATGACTCCCATACCCACTGCAACAGGTGGACAACTGCTCCACCATCATCGTCTCGGACCACCGCCGGCGTCCGGCCACAGGCCATCTCGAGCAGGACAACACCGAAGCTGTAGATGTCAGATTCCACACTGGCTGTGCCCGCAAACACGCACTTCGGGTCCATGTACCCGAGTGTCCCAGCTGCACCCGTCGTTAACGAGCCCCGGCCATCGCAGATGAACCTCGCAAGCCCGAAGTCACCGAGCTTGGCGTTGAAGGACGCGCCTAGCATGATGTTGCTTGGCTTGATGTCCCTGTGCACAATGCGCTCCTCCATGTCCTCGTGCAGGTACAGCAGTGCGGACCCGAGGCTGAGTGCGACCCCATACCTGACTGCCCATGGCAGCAGGTGGTCCGGCTTGTGCAGGTGAGCGTCCAGGCTGCCATTGGGCATCAGCTCGTAGACAAGCAGCAGACCGTCGTCGTTGCCGCCATAGTACCATCCAACAAGCGGCACGAGGTTCCGGTGCCGGAGCCGGCTAATTATCCTCACCTCAGAGACAAACTCCTTCCAGCCCTGACAAGAGCTCTTGGACACTTTCTTCACGACGATGTGAAGGTTCATGTCATGGAGAAACCCCCGGTACACGGATCCGAAGCCTCCTTCTCCTAGCTTGTTCCTTCCAGAGAAGTCGTTGGTGGCGGCCGCAAGCTCCTCGTACCTGAATCGTCTCGGTCCAGTCCCTTGCTCGAGCTCGTCTTGCCATACGCATTTGCTGAGGAAGTAGGCCGCCTCTTTCGTCAGTTTTTCCATGTATGATCCCATGGCAACCCTGCCTGCTGCCACCCAGCCTCGCCACCAGTACCACATGAACCGAATCAACAGGCCGATCAGACAGACCACGAGCGCCACGGCGATGGCAACAAGGCTGACAATGATAACAATCTTTCGCCGCTTTTTTCTGCGCCTCGCGTCCTCATCCGCCATCGCCCTCTCACGCTCCAACTCCTGGGCCGCCATGTCCTTCTGATAGTTCTCGCTGTACAGGTACCTGTTAAGCCGCACAGTAGATGGCTTGTCGACAAGGATGGCGTACCCCAAGTAGCAGCTATACCCCTTGATGGCGCCGCCACTGTTGTTCGGGAACAACCGCGGCAGCTGATCAGTGTAGTAGGAGAGACAGCGTGTGCATTCGCTTGCCGGCAGGTCCCTCGTACACTGCGCCACCGCCCACACCCATTGTGTGTCAGTGAACCGTTGTGTGCCCGAGGCGATCCTGTCGGCCACTTGGCCCGCCTTTCCCATGAGCCGGCGAATAAGCTCAGACCTCATGCGGCTCATGCCGGCCGTGTCCACAACGTAGCCTACGAGTGGTACGACTCCCTGGTACCAAGCTGCATAACTATCTCCACCTCCGCCGTACTGAGTACGCTAAGAGGACCGTTCCAGTTCCATGTTTGGCGCATCGGAGAGATCGGCTATGTCTAGGTCGGCGATGGAGAAGGACTCATCAGAGTACCGAAGGGTGCAGGCGTTGTAGACAGCGCGAACAGTCCGACTGTGCGGGCACAGCTTCATGACACCCGCAGGTGCACGGGTGAGGCAGTCCTGGCACTCAAGAGTCAGTGTCGCCGGTGTAGCACATGAAGAGGCCGAAGACCTCATCGCCCTCCATGCCGAATTTACGGCTGAAGAAGCCGCCGTCGTTGGCGGCGGCCATGGGAATGGACGACAGGAGCCGGTCGAGGTTCACATGGTACTTGCTTCCGTCGGTGTAGTTGTCGGCAGTTGAGCATGACATCGCGGATGGCCGCAGGGGCTGGGGCATCTCGTCGCTGGCGGCATCACCGTCAAAAAGTGCGCGGGCGTGGCATGCGGCAACTCCTGCTAGGAGTAGCAGCACAAGGCGAACCCATGGAGGTGAAGCCATGGCCGGGCAGCGGTGGTGACCTTGGTGAGTGGTGAGCGACACAATCACAAGAGACACCCTTTGATATAATGGTGAGTGGTCTCACTGCATGCTTTCAGTATTCCACCACCACCAATGGTCCATCCAACAGCTTGTGGTGCATATTCGATCTCTCGGTTCTAGAACAAGATGGGCACGGCATTGACGAAGTCAGTCTTGAAGGCGGGTCTTGTAGCCATGGCTTTACCTCCATGGTTGATCTTGTAAAGCCATGATAGCTGGGCAGCTGTGGTGCCTTTGGAGAGTCGTGAGAGACACAATCACAGGAGACACCCTTGAGACCCAATTCCGTGTGAATTGCTTTCAGTATTCCACCAATATTCCACGCGGTGAATTGCTTTCAGTATTCCGTGTGGATTGCCCTTTCAGTATTCCACCAATATTCCGTGTGAATTGCTTTCAGTATTCCATGTGGATTGCCCTTTCAGTATTCCACCAATATTCCGTGTGAATTGCTTTCGGGATTCCACCAATATACACGCAAGAGAATGAACCCAACTCCGTGTGATGCCTTTGGTGAGTCGTGATTCGGGTCCCCGGCCCCACCATCTGTGACATTCAACTTGAAAGCGACTTGGCATGACAATAGTGTCACTACCAGAATTCAGAGAGACTGGCTCACAAGTGCTGAAGTGGATCATATGGGCCAATGGGCAGGTGCCCAGAGATCATGAAAAAAGATTGTACATGATCAACACTGGCATGGAGATATTAGAGTGTCATTAGCTAAGAGTACATTCGTGAATTTTTTGAAAACTCAGCTCTGGGGCAAAGTAAAAACGGAAGACTTATACCTTAGTCTGAGATGCGTCATAGTTTTTTTTTTTCTAGCTGTTAAAAAAAAGGTAAGGATTGAACTCACCTTTGCTCCTGGCTGATGAGCTGATCCTTTCAAGGTTTTGTACGGTACAATTTCTTCTCCTGTGCAGGGCTTTTTTTTTCCTGCACTTGATCAAATGATTTAGTTTTTGCTATATATACTGATGAAAAAGAAATCTCCGCTGATCTATAATGATTTTTTTTCTTATATTGGGAAATGCTATGTATTTTGAGTTTTATTGACAGAGATGTGTAATTATTATTTTGGCATGACTTGTGGAAATTTGGCCGTGCCTTGAATGACACGTTGTGTCCATATGGCTCCTTCTATGAATAATCCACTGTACAGGCAATCAACTTCGAATTCTGATAGTGACAAAATTGTAATTTTGGTATCAACCAAGAGAAAAATCAACGGAGACTCGGTCACCGTTGGTCCTCGGTGGGAGTTAGCTACGAGTCTTTGTCTCGTGGTAAGAATCTACCAAATGCTGAGCTAGTGCCATAGTCCTAGTTGCTCCCAACGTAGTATCATATAAGCCCTACCAAGGGGTGCGTTGCGTTATCCTGTCGACCAAGTCACCACTGGCCGGCCATGGCTCCAACTCCATGCTTCCACCTTCTGCTGGTCCTATCCGTCGGCGGTGCACTCTGCACCAGCGCACTTGTAGACTACGTCCACCAACCCCCGATCCGGTGCTCTGCTGACAACTACACCGACGGAAGCCAGTACCACAAGAACCTCTACCGCCTGCTGCAGACCATCACCATGGCAGCCCCGCGAAAAGGTGGCTTCTACAGTGGCACCTTTGGCGTGGGTGCCGACAAGATCTTCGCCCTCTTCATGTGCTACGCCGAGGTCGAATATTCCCCGGAGGTGTGCCAATATTGCCGTACCTCACCTGAGGAGATAATGAAGAAATGCCCGCAGAGCCGGACGGCTAACGTCTACATGGGGAGCTCCTGCTTCATCCGGTACTCCGACAAATCTTTCTTCTCCGTCGCCGACCTCTCCCTCGAAGCGAGGCAACAGCCTGTATACTCATGGACTGCACCGCTAGCCCCCTACAACATGAGCAGTGCCAGCGGGACGAGGGACGAGCTGATGCGTCGGCTCACAGCGAGGGCCGGCAAAGACGCAATGCGGGTCGCTCGAGGCACCCAGAGTTACAACGAGAAAGACCCTCTAGTAGCTATGTCTGGGGTGGCGCAGTGCACCAGGGACCTGCTGCCAAGTGAGTGCACACGCTGCCTCTCCTACTACACCGATCAGCTGCCGCAATTGCTGTCCAACAACAGCGTCGGAGGATCAGTCACAGGGTTCAGCTGCCATATCGCGTACAACACGTACACGATCAGCAAGAACGGACGCCGCAAAAGGGTAAAAGCGGCTGTCGTTGCTGGTGCCATGGCGCTCATGCTCTGCCTGATCAGTCTGTCGGTTTGGTTCTTGTCACACCAGAGGCGAAGGAGGTCTAAGGCGGCAGTGAGATCAGAGCTGGAACAACCACTGAAAGAGGTGGTCTACTTCCATGGCAGAAGCACAGACCAAGACGAGCTCGAGCAAGGCACCGGGCCCGTGCGATTCTCATATGGTGAGCTCGCGGCCGCCACCGATTGTTTCTCCGACAGTAATAAGCTAGGAGAAGGAGGCTTTGGATCCGTGTACCGTGGGTTCCTCCATGACACAAACCTCGACATCGCCGTGAAGAAAGTGTCCAAGAGCTCCCGGCAGGGCTGGAAGGAGTTCGTCTCCGAGGTGAGGATCATCAGCCAGATCCGGCACCGGAACCTCGTGCGGCTCGTCGGATGGTTCCACGGCGGCGACGACGACGATCTCCTACTTGTCTACGAGCTGATGCCCAAAGGCAGCCTCGACGCTCACCTCTACAAGCCAGACCACCTGCTATCGTGGCCGGTCAGGTACGAGATCGTGCTCGGGCTTGGCTCTGCACTGCTGTACCTGCACGAGGAGACGGAGCAGCGCATCCTGCACAGGGACATCAAGCCAAGCAACGTGATGCTGGACGCGTCCTTCAATGCCAAGCTCGGCGACTTTGGCCTTGCCAGGATCGTCGGCAACGGCAGGGGCTCGTGCACGACAGGAGCGGCCGGGACCCTCGGCTACATGGACCCAAAGTGCGTCTTCACTGCCACTGCCAGCGTGGAGTCCGACGTCTATAGCTTCGGCGTCGTCCTGCTCGAGATTGCATGTGGCCGACGGCCGGCGGTAGTCCAAGAAGATGACGATGACTCCGTTGTCCACTTGCTGCAGTGGGTCTGGGAGTCGTATGGCAAAGGAACCATCCTTGAGGCGGCCGATGAGCGGTTGGATGGGGAGTTTGACGGGCAGGAGATGGAGCATGTCATGGTGGTCGGGCTCTGGTGCGGGCACCCTGACCGCAGCTTGAGGCCATCCATCAGGCAGGCTGTCAGTGTGCTGCGGTTCGAGATGCCGTTGCCAAGCCTCCCGGCGAAAATGCCGGTTGCAACCTACATGCCACAGCCATCAGCTGAAGATTCTTTTGGTACTTCAGATGCCAGCAGCAGCACCGGCAGCATTGAGGCCACCACGAGCTCTGCACAGACTTGATTAGATTACTACTGCATCGCTTATCTGGGCCCTTCAGAACTGTTTCAAGAATTATTATTTTGTACTAGTAGCGCTGTTTAAAATAAGAAAACGGAACTGGACTATAAGGACTGTGGCCACTCAGGCCATAAAATCGCCTGAAACTCGAATTTGAGTTATCAGTGAACTTTTGAATTTTAGGTTCGAGGCCGCTACGAGCTCGACAGACTTGATTAGATTAGTACTGCATCGCTGATCTGTGCCTTCAGGACTCTTTCAGGAATTTTCTGGTACTAACATTTATCAATGGCTTTGAGCCTGATTAAAAGAAGAAACGGAACTGGAATACAAGGGCTGTGAGTTTGTGACCACCCAGGCCAGAATCGCCTGAAACTCGACTTCGAGTGATCAGTGAGATTTCAAATTATGGGGACCTTGCAGTGAAAGGTAGTGGAGATGGCTAGAGATAAACCAGCGTGATGCAGTAGGAATACTTCAACTTAGCTGGTCGTTATCCAAGTCAGGAATTTTTGGTCAACAGATCTAGGGAATGAATCTAGTTAACGGGGCATGCACATTTGTTGTCTATGTAACGCTGATTTTAGAAATCTAGTGCTGGAGAAAATTCATACCTGCATGAAGTGTGAGATACGCCAGACATGCGCGTCCTAACTGCCCATGTCCCTGGCTTAGTTAGTGGTAAACGTGCTGGTGGTGGTGGTGATGGTCGTCGTGGATTCTGACATGGCTAGTAGTCCAATGAGCTACACACAGATTTGTTTCTGTGCCTGGAAATTCCTCTGCTTGAGCTGTCAAGGAGACAGATGACCGAATCCATTGACTTCACGGATCCTGTTAACTTCCCAGATTCTAATCAGCAAAATATCCTCTCCTGTCCAGTCCTGCACACACAGTAGACCATTGCTATTAGTAAACGGCAATTAGTCATAATTCATAAATAATTAGATCGACCTGCTAGTGTATCGCCTCTTCTACTATACCTCATTCCCCTTTGCAACTCTCTTGACCAAACGATGGTGTCAAGGCTCTACTCTTGCGTTTGCTAGTTGCTGCCGCTCGGATGCAAGTGCCGGGCTGTGCTTTGAGTGCAAGCTGTCCAAGGGGCATTGCAGCTACACCCAGATTCAGGAATATCCATTTAAAAACAATAAAAATCACAACAATGTGATTTAATAACACATTATAGATACCGTGTCGACATCCAGTGATAAAATTCATTTATGTAACTATGTACATCTCTTATTTCTCCTGCAAACTTGCATGTCATCAAAAAAAATGTGAACACGTTAAGAAAACCATTGTGGACCTTCATTCGGGGTTCATTTAACATGGTTTAAATGACCTTGATACTTGCTTACGTTTACTTGCAGTAGTCTATGCAAATTTCAGATACCTTGGGCAAGATATTTGGTGGAGACTTAACCTAGGACCATAACTCTTTTTGCTCACAAAAAGAGAAGCGTGTCACTTTGACTAGGGGGTGGGGATAGTGTAGAAGAAGTGATTAATTCATAAATATCAAAATGGAAATGCCAGAAAACGGTAGAAATTCATACTAAATCAAGAAAAGGTACCAAAGAATGCAGGCACATTTAGGGATCTCTTCTAAGTAAAAAATGGCAAGTGTGATGTTCATAAATGCCGAGAAAGATTGTGAAACTTCTAAAGCTTTACATTTTATCAATTATGCATATTGCAACTACTCAAGAGTCAAGAATGCTGTTCCATTTTTTGCATACGCTGAACATGTACAGAAAACAAGAGAAAATTGTTAGAAATATCTCTCAGCCCTCTTTTACTAGATGTTTTGCATCTTCACATTCATGTTCATCTTTTACTAGATCAGCTTCAGTCATGTGCATTTAGTATAGTAAGTAGTAACCATGTTCAGTTTATCGGAAAGATGCCATGACCGCATAAGTTCTCGACAAATTAAACCTGGGATTCATGATGAAAGCAACAATAAGTCTGCCCTCTTCAGTAACTTGCAATGCACTTCTTCCTATTGTGTGACACTACAAATTACGTGTTCCCATATCAAATAATTCATGCCTCAGTTTTCTGGTTAGGTGGTAGTAAACAAAGTCCAAATAAACCAATTTACTACTCCCTCTGTCCGAAAATACTTGTCGGAGGAATGGATGTATCTAGACGTATTTTAGTTCTAGATACATCCATCTTTATGCATTTCTGCGACAAGTATTTCCGGGCGGAGGGAGTACTAGATTATTTGGACTTTGTTTACTACCATCTAACCAGAAAACCGAGGCATGAATTAGTTGAATGGAATCATACTTTTCCTTACATGTTTGCTGGGCTACAAGGCATACAGGTCAAGAAAGAGATTGAAGGGAACACCGAGGATTAAGTCCTTCCTACAAAAGAATGCAGTAGTATATCCGAAAAGATACACTTACACACAAATGAAAAGAATGTGGAAGAATCATCAATGAGGTAGCCGGCATCAGCAAACTTCTCATGTCATTGCCCTTACGATTTTGCTTGGACAGAATGAAGAGGGCACTAATCTATGACTATGCTTTGAATGTTGTTACATTGTGTCTTAATGGCGAGATCAAAAATATTTAAGGAAAATGGTTAGTTGGTGGGTTGTGGTATACAGCTAAGTGCTAGTAACCGACCAACTATGACTAGAGTCGTCGAGATGCTAAAAGGGAGCACATGTGGCCTGGAATTACCGCCACAGGTGCTCTTAACTTGGTAATCATAAGTATTGTTTCTATGCTGTTCACTTTTTCCAGTATTGCACAACTGCAAGCAGGTAGATCTCATGACTTCCATTACATGTCATGGTTTGTCTGTGTAAGTAGTGGGGTATCTATGTAAAAGTTGGCCATATACCACTCTACGACTATAATACTGAGTACGGACACTCTTTTGTGCAATTGTACTTGGAATTCGATAAGTGAAATGTGATTCAGTAGTTGGCTCAGGTTTCAAATACTTCTCAATGCCTACAAGATAGAATGCAAATCAGAAACAGCAACTAAAATTTCCATTTGCCAGTACACAAATCCATACCACAAGGTCGCACAAACTACAACTACAATGCCCAGCTGTTAATAATTCAAATGTAAATAAGGAAGGCGATGTGGAATCAGAGCTTACCTAATGCAGAGAGGACAAATCGGTGGATCACCTAGCCCACCATGGTTGCCTCGCCCAGAGACTTGCCCCGTCTGTGATCAGGCATCGGAATCAATTTTGCATCTGCTGATGGAGTGTGTTTTCGCCAGATAAACGCAACTGGTTGCTACACCTACATGCACAATGTCTGCAACCCAGTGAGGAATTTAAGACCTGGTTTGTGAAGGCTGCAGAGAGAGCTGGAAAGGCTAAGGTGAAGGGTGCGCGATCACTAATCCTTCTAACCATGTGGGGTCTGTGTAGAGTGTGAAATCCCTGAGTATTTGACAATGGTTCTCCGTATCATGCCGACGCTATCATCTGAAGCCAAGCTCCAGGCACACAGGCGTAAAGGCCCCGCGAAGGCTAGCTCATACAGTTTTTGTTTCTTTTCCTGTTGTTCTTTGGCTTTAGTTTAGTTTTCAGATGTGAGAAACATATCATAGGCCATATCCATGATGGTGCCGCCTGAGTCGAGGCCCAGCAAGCACAGCCGCACGGGAATACAGAAGCAACAGATAGTGTGGAGACAGCAATGACATTGCAGGCATAGGACTATCGAGCCAGGGAGGTGTCCCTGCAAGCCTGGCTAGGTGGGGAGCAGTACTATGTGGTGATGACGATAAATTATCAGTTATCTCCACAGTACATAGGGGCATGTAAAATGAAGGTGCATGGAAAGGTGCTGGGCCCAATGCAACTGTTCTTTTTCTTGCTATGTAGGGTTGCTGAGCACAATGCAACTGTTTTCTCTTGCTATGTAGGTTCGATGAGGAGTCAAGTTTCCGGCATCCATGCTTGTAGTAGGCACCAGTGCTTAGCAACTTAGCAAGGTGCTTATACATATTCTAGGAAACAAACTTGACTTGAACTTGGTACCAAACATCATATATGCATATCCTAGGAAACAAGCTTGACTTGTACTCAGTGGCAAACATCTTAAATGCATAATATTCTAGGGAATGGGAACACACGCTTTTCAAATTAGATATCTAACTGGAGCTTGAGTAAAGCTTTTTAATTCAAAGCTAAAGGGGCACCAAGCGGTTCCAAATAAGAAAGAAGAGTGGTAAAAACAAGACACACACACAAAAAAGGGGCGACAGTCACTGACTGAAAACAGTGGTAACCACAGGATTTCTTGACCATCCCAAGCGAAGAACTTCCCGTTGTCAGTCTTCTGGCATTGCCGATGATAGACAGTAGCTTCTGTACAGAGAACTCCCTAAAGAGCTTATCCTTGGCCACATTTCTTTGGAATGGCTGTCAGAGGTCAATGTCAACTGTTGCTGGATGTAGAAAAATGCAGGCGATGTTGTCTTCTTGCCCAACTCGACTGATGCACTCTTTATCACTGCAAAACTTCACCAATGCATGCATTTTAGAAACCTAAAAAAAGAAAGGTACATAATTGTGCGATGACTAGTTTGCTTTGGATAGAATACACAAAACATCAGATGAGAGAAGACTATAATGATAACAAGATTAGTATAAACAGAGGGCTGGTAAAATCTGGATGGGACATGAATCTTACTGTTCACATACATTGATTCAGTGCTGTTTTAGAAGCCTTATACAAATGCCGGCCTCCCAGACCATTGTCTCCTGTCGAGCCTACTCTGGCTGGCGCTCATATCTGCAACCAACGAGCAACCCTTCCCTGTTTCCAAGGTCGCTCCAATCTTCAGAAATGGGCATGTGCTAACAAAAAAAAAATCAATTCAGTCCTCAGAGTACAATACAAGATACTTTCAGACATTGGAGTAAGAACACCCCAGAGACTAGAGGAATGCCGACACAATTGGGAGCAAAAAGGAAGGCAGCGGTCTCTACCTTGATGACTAGAATAGGAC